GCTCAGGTCCTGATCCTGGAGTCCCGGGATCGAGTCCCGCATCGGGCTCCCGGCTCGGCGGGGAGCCTGCTTCTCCCTCTGACCCTCCCCCCTCTCATGTGCTCTCTCTCTCTCATTCTCTCTGTCTCAAATAAATAAATAAAATCTTTAAAAAAAAAAAAAAGAATCATGCAGGAAGAAATTACTGCAGACTGAAGCCTCCTCATTCCGTTGTTCAGGAAGATTCTTAGAAAGGAGAGTGTAACCCAAAGATTGAGTGATTTTTGTGCTGGGAGCCACACCTTGGCAGATGGTTCTGGCAGAATAGACCTATTTGAGCATGTTTTGTACGTGTGTGATGTGCCATCTAGTGGTTGAGTGAGCCTAAATTAATGAAAAGGAAAATGGTCCTTTCTGGTCCGTACTGACTCCTTTGCAAACTGTCCACCACATGATTTAAGCAACAGCAGGAGGTTTGATGCTGTGGGCTATTATTTGGGAAAGGAAAAAAAAAAATCTATTTTCTTAGAAGCCATATGTTGACCCCAATTATTGTCGGGGGGTGGGGGGAGCACTGGTATTATAGTAAATATGCAAGCCGGAAGTTGCAAATTGGTGACATTTGGCCCCGCAGAGTACTTTTCCCATTTTATTTTATTGAGGTGTAATTCACATATATAGTATAGTGCACAACTGTTGGGTGTATAGCTTGATAGATTTTTACATTTATAAAGTTTGTGTATGTATAATCTGCATAATTACCACATGGATCAAGATCTCAAAATGTTTCCAGGATCCCAGAAGCCTCCGTCTATCAGTGCTTAGAGATAACCCCTCGTCAGAACTCTGTCACCATAAATTTGCAATAGCATCATTAAAGTAGATACTCCTAACCCTTACCTCCGAGAAAGGATAAAATCCTGTACTCACCATTTCAACAGTTTGCCCGAAAAGGAACAATTTCCTCATCAAACATTCTGTAGCAAACAAAGACCCCATTTCCTGGGTTTGCTGCTTTTCAGAGTCCAGGTGGCATAATGAGATCTCTCTCCCCAGTCTAAATTCCTAATATATTGTTTTTCTTACCAAGCTTCTCACTGAGAGATATATCCACTTGGTGCACTGATTGTATTTTCCCAAGTGTCTCTGCAGGCATCCAAGTCAATTTTCAAAGAAATCCCATTACTTGTGAGCAGCATCTCAGAGGTGCCACTGATTGTCATGGCGAAGCCTATGAATTCTGATGTAGCATTTCAGAAATTAATGTGAATGCCCTGTCGCCAATGACTGCATGACACCTGTCCAAGTTAAGCCAAGCAAATCATAATGGTGAGAAAGGCTCTCAACCTGTAATCCGGCAAAGGCTAATTTCTAATGAATAGCATAATGCAATCATTGTTGCTATTTCTACAGGACCTCTTTCTGTTCAAATGAAACTAGATTCCCTCTGAATGTCAAAACATACAGTGTGTCAGGAAGCAGAGCTAGTTCTGAAATAAAATTGATTTATTCCAGAGCTGTCTTGTACATGCCTATTTACTTGATTACTAAACAAATACACAATCAGCCAACATGTCTACAAGTATGTTACTTCTGGGTATTTTGCAAGGTGCTGGAGATAGAAAAGCATAAGATGTATGGGTCCTCCCTCACTGCCATGGAGTTGGACGTTGTTTAGATCTGTTGTCCTCTGGCTTGCAAACTGGTGTTTAAAAAAATGGCTGTCTCTTGGGATAATAAACAAGGCTAAAAAACAGGATTATCCTAATGTGCTCCTTCTTAGAAATAACTTGTATTTTTTTCTAATTATTTATAATGTATTTGGAAAAAAAGAAGAATGTAAAGAAGAAAATACAAAATTCCCTAATGCACCAAAGAAAGCCTATAATGGCTTTGTTTAATTCTTTTCAAGGACTTATAATTTTCTGGGTTTTTTCTGTGTGTGGGTGCATATATGTACAATTGCAGTTGACCTTTGAACAACATGGATTTGAACCGCACGGGTCCGCTTATACATGGATTTTTTTCAATAAATACAGTACAGTACTATAAATGAATTTTCCTTATGACTTTCTTAATACTTTTTTTCTCTAGCTAACTTTATTGAACAAAGACAGTATATAATACATATAACATACAAAATATGTGTCGACTGTTATAGGTAAGGTTTCTGGTCTACAGTAGGCTATTAGTAGTTAAGTTCTCGGGGAGTCAAAAGTTACACATGGATTTTTGACTACATCGGGAGTTGGTGTCCCTAACCTGCATTGTTCAAGGGTCAACAGTATTTATTTTATGAAGTTGAGGTGATATTACATATTTTTCTCTATCATAAGAAACTCTTGAAACATGTTTAATACTTGAGTGAGTTCATGATTTCTGGAATAAGAATGAAAACTAATTTCTTAACCGTTCCCTATTACTGGAAATTTTGATTGCTGTTTCTAAAACAGTTATAGAGATTTAATGTTTATGTATTTGAAATGAAGTCTTCGACTTTCTACCACACTCAAGGCCAGAACTTTCAGAATAATGTTAAATAATAATGGTGATGCTGGCTGGCTGTGGTTTGTTCCTAATTATAAAGGCAATAACTCTGGTGTTGTTAAATATGGTAACAACGGCTGACTTGAGTTGGGTAAAAATCATATTAAGGAAATCCTTTGAGTTCTAGTTTTTAAACATCAGCATTGGGGAATTGAACATTACCAACTGTCTTTCAGTGCTATTGAAATAATTAGGTTTTGCCCCAATTTGGCCTATGGGTATGTAATACATTATATTAGCAGATTTCCTAATATTGTCCCCTTCCACCAGAATGAATTCTACTATACTGTAGAGTAATATACTTGTAATGAATTGTCAAATTTAATTCCATATTATTGATTTTGAGATTTTAACATCCATGTTTATTGTACATTGTTCTTGAGAGACAACTAGTGTGACAGGATATAGACGTACTCTGTGCATCTCATTCTGGTCTGTAAATGTGGGTTGCTGAAATTAGGGATAGAGAGCCTGTTTGTGTCTATTATTCACTCTCCCTTTTTCTTTACCTCTTATCCCAACTGCACATTAAGTGAGGTTTTTTTTTTCCCTTTTGTGAACTGACAAAGTACTTTTCTTAACCTCTCTCAAAGCACTCATCACATTCTTTCTTTTTTTTTTTTAAAGATTTTATTTATTTATTTGAGAGAGAGAATGAGAGAGAGAGAGCATGAGAGGGGGGAGGGTCAGAGGGAGAAGCAGGCTCCCCGCCGAGCAGGGAGCCCGATGCGGGACTCGATCCTGGGACTCCAGGATCATGACCTGAGCCGAAGGCAGTCGCTTAACCAACTGAGCCACCCAGGCGCCCTCATCACATTCTTTCTTATATTAAAATTTTCTGTCTTCTGTTCTTGCAAAAGTGGTCTATGTCTTACAAGTTTTCCATCCCTACCCCTTAGCCACTAAATGTTGTCCACCTAACCTCTCCTGTGGGGTCCCAGCAAGCGCTGCAGTGGCAGATGGTGGAAATAGATGAGTTTTGCCAACATCCTTAGATGTCCAGACAAAGGAGGAAAGCAAGGAAGTCAGAGTGATTGCAAAATTCTGTGGGTACTGTGCTTCTCTATGGCAGCGGTTTGAGTCCAGGAGGATGAATCAGTTTCTAAAGGCATAGGAGAGGGCAGAGCAGGGACAAGAGTGAAGCACTGAAACCAGTCCTTATGTACCTGCCCTAGGTGGCTGCCCATCCTGCTCTCAATGGTAGATTACAGGGACAACCAATTACCTCAAATACTTTTGCGTACCTCATGTATACACTCTTAAAATGAAGTCCATTCATTATATTCAAGTAGTCTTTAAAAAAAAAAGTCATTTCAGGTGCCTGGGTGATTCAGTTGGTTAAGTGTCTGCCTTCGGCTCAAGTCATGATCTCTGGGTCCTGGGATCGAGTCCGGGTCGGGCTCCCTGCTCAGCGGGGAGCATGCTTCTCCCTCTCCCTTTGCCGCTACGCCTGCTTGTGCGCTCTCTCTCAAATAAATAAATAAAAATAAAATCTTTTTTTTAAGATTTTATTTATTGGGACGCCTGGGTGGCCCTACATTGGGCTCCTTGCTCGGCAGGGAGCCTGATTCTCCCTCTGCCTGCTGCTCCCCCTGCTTGTGCTTGCACGTTCCCTCTCTCTCCCTCTCTGGCAAATAAATAGATAAAATCTTTAAGAAAAAATATTTTATTTATTTATTTGACAGAGCACACAAGCCGGCGGAGTGGCAGACAGAGGGAGAGGGAGAAGCAGCCTCCCCACTGAGCAGGGAGCCCAATGCGGGACTGGATCCCAGGACTCTGGGATCCTGACCTGAGCCAAAGGCAGACACTTAACTGACTGAGCCACCCAGGCACCCCAAAAATAAAATCTTTTAAAAAATCATTCCAATACCCATCTCAAGCATCAATTCAAAATGGTATCTTTCAATTGTCAGTTCTTTCCCAGAGGAAGGCTTATAGAATTAAATACATTGTAGGGTCTCCCCAACTAGACTGTAAACCACTTGAGGACAGGGATTAGGTCTTAAGTATATTCTAACCACCACTGTGCTACATATACAGTTTAAACTTATCAACTAGTGTTTCTGGAATTAATTAACCCTTTTTTTTTTCTTGCACTGTAATGTTACTCAATGGTATTCCTCACACTTAAAAGACCAAAAGCAACTTTGAAAACAAAACAGGCCTTTTGACAAGTAGCAAGAGATACCATCACAACCAAAAAACATGATGGAAATTAATGAAGAAATAATAGCAGGTGAAAGAGGAGCAGAAGTACGTGGTTCAAGCTAGAATTAAAATGAATGTTATGACACCAGGGAAATAGTTCCAGCGGTGACTCTTCGAAGTACCTGGTCAGACTTCAGACCATCCTTGGAGGGTGAGACTAGTTAGTGGGTATTGTTGGCTTTGTGCTTCTATGCAGTAACTGATGTTCCTTGGAAGGCAGAGTGAAAAGTTGTGTTCAGTGATTACTTTCTCTTTTTCCTTAGGGTGTTAAATACCACATTATTTGAAAGCTGGGAGATCGTTGGACCTTACCCTTCCTGGTGGGTTTTTAATCTACTGCTGTTGCTAATACAAGGCTTGAACTGCTTTTGGTCTTACTTAATCGTAAAAATAGCTTGCAAAGCTATTTCAAAAGGCAAGGTAAGATGAGACTTACTGTTTCTGATACGTCCCAGAAAAGTATGTTTTCTGGTTCTTCTTCTTTTTTTTTTTTACCTTTTTTTTTTTTATTATTATTATTATGTTAACCTCCTGGAAACAGAAACCAAATTTTCATTTTCTTCTATTTAGTTAATTTTTTAAGTTAATTTTTCTAAACAATGTTGCTGATGATTCCCACCGATCTACATTTATAATTTTAGATTTAATAATGATACGTTATTTGTTGTGTTCTTTCCCTCCCTCTGTTTCCCATGGTCCTTCTCTGATTAAACTTGTGCCGAACAGAAATTTAATAACTTCTTTCCTTTTATGAGAAGGGTTGCTTGGTGCAGTATGCCCATTTATGATTTTTCCAATAAAACTTAGTTAAATCTCTTTGTTTAAATATGGACTCATGAGGCTGATTCAAATAACGTATCTTGGGAGCAGTGACTTTTCCGGAACATTCTCTTACTTTCATTGTTTATTCTCTTCCTTCTGCCACCCTGGAAGGCTGGGAAGTGGAACCCTTTACATGTAAGTTCCTCATGCCTCTCTCTCTCTCCTTGTTCTGGGTGCCACTTTCGCCTGTTGGAGGGGCACTCAGATGCTTTTGTTTCCATGTGTATTGTTCTAGCTAACCAGTTGGCACTGACCAGAGGCTTTAACTGAAGTGCGGCTCCCACCAGGTGCAAGGGATACTAGAAACAGCTCGGTTAGTAGTGCCCTTTGTGTGAGCTTGCATTCTGCTAAATTTTGCATCATCCAACAGAAGGAGAGGAATTTTTTTCATTGACGTTTAGCATGTTTGCTAAAAAACCAGAGATAGACAAAAGTGAAGTAGGAGAAACAGAACTGAGTTTGGGAGAGGATTGCCATGGTCCAGAACGGAGGCCTGAGCATCAGCTATTGCCTGGTCTGCCCTGAGCACCTTGTCCTCGGCGAGGTAAACAGAGCTGGCTCCTTCCATGGGGCTCGGGACATCTAGTCACGTACTGTGCAGCCAGTTCTCAGTATCAGCTCTTATATAGATCCAAAGTATTTCGATCAATTAATTGTTCAGAGGCGAAAGTTCATTTTTTCCCTGTGACCTCTTATTCTTTAAAATGAGCACCTGTATTTCTGTTAAAAAACACTCCTTTTCTCCTCTGGGTACAAATTACATCAACATGCACAATGCTATCAGCATGGTAACGGTAGCCGAAGACAAAGAGGCAAGGACAGGTGGATTCGATTGCTTGTATCCTTATTGCATTGCTGTTTCCACCAGACCTATTGTCTTCTCTCCAAATTATTCCTTCAGTCTTACCAAGAGATGATTATTAATTTCATTACAGATGTCAGGCTTCAGAATATCTAAACTACCCTTGCTGTTCACCTAGGACAGTTAAATTCATCTTGGCCATGGGTTATGGACTCTATTTTTCTATGGGTTATTTTGAGACATTTTGAATTATTCCTTTCCTTGAAAGTGACATAAGCATAAATTTTTTTTCCAAATGCAATTACAAATAATCTTACTAAGCATGCAAATGTAAATTGATCACTCTCTGAAATTGGAGTTTTCTTTCCGATTAGCAGCTTAATTTATGACTAATGGATGTCTAAATGTCGTGGAGCTTTACTATCATGCTGTCTTTGTGACCCATGTTTGTTTGTTTAAGTTCACGTATCCTAAGTAATTCAGTCCTTTTGGTCTTTCGGTATCTGAATCTTCTTGGAGATGATTCGTGTGCGTTCAGTCTCATTGCAAGGGGCACTGGAGTGAAGTCCATTTGTACCGTGTTTATTTGGTTGTTTCTGGTTAGAAAGGAGCAGCGGTTCTGAACTCTCACCCGGCCTCGTTGCCACCCACCTGACAGAGATGACGTTGTCCTGCAGCCATGGTGGCTTCTCCGGTGGGGGGCATGCATGGCACAGAGAGGATGTGATGTGAAAAAGCCCTCAGTTCATTCTGATACACCACTTCTTAGAGAAAGGCAGGCAGCTGGATTTGGGAAAGCTTCTACGAAGCGAGGCCCCCAGGCCCCTAGGTCCCTGTTGCCACCCCACTCGGAAAATAAGTGAACGGTGCTCAGTTACTCAGAGGTCTTAAGGCATGTTGGGTAAAAATGCTTACCATAATTTAGACGATAGAGTAGGAGGTTCAAACTATTTTAATTTTAAAAGCAGTTGAGTGTTTTCTTAATCTCTCCCTAAATTACTTCCTTGCTAGACTGTGACTTTTTTTTTTTTTTTGTCCTTTATGGTAATGCATATGCTGGTGCCTGAGCTTGCCATCCTTGTTACGTAAGGAGACTGGGTAGAGGATTGAAATGATGGGAGCCCATTTGTGATGATCTGGTTGATAGATTTTCTTTGGGAAATATTTTAAACTAGACCTCACCCAGCAGGTTCCCAAAATGCCTCCCCCTGCCATTAGTTGTCACGTAGTATATAAAACAAAATTCCTACTTAATTTTAGCAGACAGAAAAGAAAAACAAATTAAGTCATCAAATAATATATTACAAAGCCAAAGAAGAATGACGTTTTAAATTCTCTAAGCCAGTGACTATCTCCATTAGTGTGGTGAATCCCTTTACAGGATTCTCATGGGGAATGTGACCATCAGAGAGTAAATTGATCCATTTGTACCAAATTCCTATAATGCCATTCCAATTTTATCATATGTCACTTTACCAGTAAGAGTGGGTTTCAGGGTCTAGTACGTTCTCATTGTCCAGATGTACCTTAAAGAGGTCAGCATGTCTAGCCCCCTGTGATACCTAAATCCACCTATGTTCCATTCCTTGATAACTGACTTCGTCACCAAAACTGCACATCTCCACTGCAGGAGAACTAACTGTTATGGCAACGTGCCTGTCCTCTTCGATTTTTAACGTTTGCATCTGTTTCCCTTCATGTATGATTACAGGCACTCTCTGACCATGCTATAGCTTAACGATTCCTTAGGAACTGGTTCCACTCACCTTCTTGTATTCCACAGGTGTCCAAGGATGATCGAAGTGATATTGAGTCTAGCTCAGATGAGGAAGACTCCGAACCTCCAGGGAAGAACCCTCACACTTCGACCACCACCAATGGGACCAGTGGTACCAATGGGTACCTCCTGCCTGGGTCTTGCTCCGTGGATGATTAATTACTCAAAACTACAAGTCCCGAACAAAGTGAACTGTTTGTTGCTGGAAGTATTTAAAAGTTGCAAATGCAGTTCCTTTCATTATATCTCAGCACCAGAAACAAAACTTAGGATTCTCAAAGCATTTTGACTAGTGCACTGCTATATGTCCTGTCTGTGAATGAAGAAGAATGACCATTCTCTATACGTAGGCATGCTATATGTAATTGACACAAGGGAACAGTATTTGCGTTTGTACTGGCTTAGAGTATTATTTATATTTCATTTTTGTTGGTAAATCTGTGGACAAATGAGGGCTTCCTCACTCCTTTTACTCTCTGGGTTTATGACAGTGAAGGAGATGCTCCATCTGCTTCTACCCCTCTCTGTCGCTGTAACTCAGTTTGACAGGAGCATCAAATAATTTAATTTGTCACTTAGAGCAAGCAAAACCCAGTGCAAGATTCTCGTACTGCTCCAAATAGGTTTGCTTTCTTTGTGTTACAGTGCCTGTTTTGAAATTGCCTATATAGCCCCAGGGGCCGTTTTCCCAGTGTAAAGTTTAAGCAGGATGAGCTAGGCATTTTAATTGTCCCTCTTCGTGGTCAATGCGCAGTTCAAATTAAAGAGTATGGTTTTTGGAGAACTTTAAAAAATTGTTTTGTATTAAGTTGCTTTGGAATAGACATCATTTCTTGTGCACACAGCCAAGATGTCTTCAATGAGTATGGTAGCTAGCTGGAGATGAACTTTGTAGGTTGCAGAGGTTTATTTTTGGTTTTTGGTTTTTGTTGTTTTTGTTTGTGTGTTTATTCCCTCTCATGAGGTCAGTGCTCTGGCTCTGAAGGAGGACCTTTGCCTAAGGTCATAGTTACTACGAACAATGAAATCACTCTTACTACTGGGAATTTGTCCCATGATCTGAGAATAACAGAAAGAGAACAGCTGATTTCAACCGGATTTCAGCAGTACCCCTATAATTACTGCAATCTTCTGTCATGTCATGAAAAAAAAGAAGCTAAGTATATTTTGGCACAGCAAAGGAGACTTTGAACAGTTGGCAAAGGTCAGCTCTAGCATAAAGCATTTTACTGCAACCAGCATTCAAAGAAGTGTGCTAGATATCTAGTATTTGATCTTGGTGTTTTGATTTTTCTGAGCAAAATAAAGCCAATGGGAGAAGGACGATTTTACTGTTTGTCCTTTCTCCTTAAATATGACCCAGAGTGACTCTCCTGTTGCTAGAAACTGAGTAGTGTTGCGCTTGAAGTCCTTTGGTTTGCTTCTTTGAAGACTTGTTCGGTTTCTAGGAATTTTTACTCAAACGGAGCTATTTTCAGAAAAAAATAATAAAAATTGTACCGGACTATGGCAATATCAGCAATGAGAAAGACTGCTGAAAAATAAGTTGCTATAGTCTCCTACATGGCAGTGTTATTTATGTATAAATAAGAAAACCCGTTCACGTAAACCAAAGATTTTATCTCCTTCCTTCCAACTTTTAGTAAGAGCGAATAAAAAGGTATTACACTTATTTCATAAACAAAATAAGTGTTCAAAACCACAATGCAGTAGCATAAATGTGTGAGTCAGGGGATAGTAAAGACAACAGCATCAGAAATACTAGGGAGTGCATGTCCTGCTTACAGCCATTCACATTCGATTCAAATTTTTGGAAAAAATTGAAATGAATCTTTGTGCCAGCAGTTTGCAACCTGTGCGTTAAAATAATGCTCCCAAACAAAAAACCTCACACTGTAATATTAAATCTTTCCCCACCTACATATGAAGTAGTCTGTTTCTGATAAGGCTCACAGTAATAATTGAAGAGCCTTAGACATATGTCTGCTTGTTTATTGAGAAAACGATGCAACTAATTCTTCTCATAAAGCCTTATTATTTTATTTCACAAAACAGGGGTATATCTAGGAGTGTAATTTGTGGATGGTTTGAGACCAGTCATAAAACATCAAAATTACTTGTTAGTCATCTGAACATCTGCTAAAATGCAGATATATAAAATGAAGCAACGAGCATGTTATAGCTGAAAAATGTTGAGAAGGTGAAAGTTTCCTTTCTTATCAACTAAAATATGGGGAAGAAGAGTGAATTGTACCTTGCTTTAGTGCCTGGAGCAAGTCCTCACAAAGGGAGAAATAAACCAGAGAACCACCATGTGTTCAAATTTGGATCATCTGATACTCTACCACAGAATAATTTCAAAAAGATCGGCTTGTAAATTAATGGTTTAGTGGAGTTGCATGAAAAGAAGTAAATTGAGTCTGTCCTTAGCAAAGACAAATCTAAGCAATTTTTTGTTTTTCCCAAAAGTCACTTGGAAGTAGGACTGAGAATACTCAGAGCCTCAGTGACCAATGACGTTCACTTAACACAGTCCCCTATGTATCTATAGATTTTTATTTCATTTTGCATTTTAGGACAAAGAGTTCTTTTTCATTAATCAAAGTGGTGTTTGTAGACCTGTTAAGATACAAAATAACATATTTCTGTCTACTCCTCCCACTTATCATGGTGGCATGATAAGACTGAGAGAGAAAAAAATGTGAGATATCTTGTCTTCTACTTGTGCCGGGCCATAGCTTTGGAAGTGTATTTTGTAAATTCAGCTGTAGGTTACTCAAAGTATTGTTTCCCATTAATTAACTTAGCCCATGTTGAGCTCCACTTAGCTCCTTCCTCCTGGTCATATTCAAACCTTTCCAGGGTACCAAGGGGGTGTGTAGGAAGGAGTCTAGAAAAATTAATATTTTATTCTCTAATGCTATATAGCTTTCCTAGATCTCTTAGTGGAGAAAAAAGTAGAAAATCAAGTAGAATTTGGCCTTGGGTCAATAAATGATATGACAATGTGTGATCTATGTACGTACATGTATGTTTCTCCAAAAACATAAAACCAAAATAGCACTGACTCATCCTTATCCATATTTTTTTCATAAAAACTATCCACCGTGTATAAGAGAATCTTCCCACCTCCCTCTCAACTTCTTGTTCATGCCACTCACCCGGCTGAGAGTTGGTAGGATCCTTTCTCTTGCCTCAGGCTAAGGTCGCAGAGGACCTAAGGTCGGCATATAAGCCAAATGTAGTTCATATTTCCAAATTTAATGGTACACATGTGGAGAATAGAAGACTAACTATCAGTATTTGGGATGATTAAGCTGGATGTTGAAAAAAATGCATATGGTTGCTGTTTCACCCCAAGGTTTTATTAACACCCAACTCCTGCCAGGCTACTAGATAGATGGTATCCTGAGGTACCATCAGATAACGAAACAGGTATCTGACAAAGATGAGCTAGGAAGAAAGGTAGGCTCCCCAAAGAAAGCAAGCAGTTGGGTGAGAGAAATAACTCTTCAGTGAGACAAAATCAGGCCACGTTTAGCTAAAATGGTGGGTGGACCTCATAATGTCCCATTCTGTTGCCAACTGTCCATTCTGAGTATTTGATAGAGGTTTGGATTTGAGCGAACCAAATGCTTTTACCTTAGGCAGAAAGGATCCGGATCTCCCACTTTGTGTATGTGAACCTCATTGTTATTTGGGCTGAAGTAAAAAATGAGGTTTCAGTTCAGTTCACCTGAGTCTTTGCAAAAGAGCTCTTCAGAGAAAACTTTATGGACACCCATGATTGTTCCCATTCTGTTCATGACTTTGTATCGAGAGTTATTTTTGTCCCTTTCTCAGAAATGTTAATGCCAAAGTTGCCTGAATATTTGAGTATTTTTTTCTTAATTTGAAGTGTACAGAATAATTCCAAAGGTGTTAAGAGATTCTGTTTGTGTATGTGATGATGTCGTTATGTCCAGAGAAGCTTCAAAAAATCCTTTGGGAAATAAAAGGTTAAATGTTTACATTTCCTGTGATAGTTGAGGTCTTAAGACACTAATTAGCTTATTTTTTTTTTCTTTGTCTTTGGCTGATTCCTGCTTTGTAGATAAATATTAGTATCCTTGAAATCTTTAGAACATTCAAGTAAGAAAAAACCAAATTAGATCAAAGTCAGCCTGATGAGAAAGTGATGACAAGGCACTTCAATTTTTAAGTAACTTGTATGGGAAGAGAAAATGCAGTTCGCTCTGGTTATTGTGCTTGCTGTCTGGCAAGCTGTTCATGAAAGGAATAGCCTCAGTAATCATAAGCAGTTCTTGAAGTCATGCATAATGCAGCAGGTAGTAATTAGTACTGGTTCACTGTGGCCACACTATTTAGTTCTTGATCGTAGCAGGCCAGAAAAGGACCCTGTGGTCTGCCTTTGTGTATATAGTCCCCTCCCCTCCTCAAAGGGATGCTTAGTAGACACTGAGGAAGCCTGTCCGTTTGTCCACTCTATGCAGTTGTAACGTCTCTAATATATATTCAGAGGGAGCATAGCTGATGCTGGTTTTCATGGAGAAAACTTTATTAGAGAGCATCAAACACAATAAGGAACAGTTTGTAAGCTCTGCAGACACCCAGAGGAGAACCTTAGCCTTTTCCAGGTATTTGTAACTTAAGTTCAGCCTTGAAGCCTTTGAAAGGAAGAGCTTAGCAAATGGCCACAAGCTAAGACCCCATCAGCTCAAAGAAATAAAAGTCTCTGCAGCCAGATGGCGTAACTTATGGTGTCTTCACAAGACTAGGTTTTCTCAAGATTACCAGGAACTGATGGGAGGGGATGGTTAGCCCAAGATCTGTCTTGTTCATCTCATCCACCCACATTCCTTTCAGCCTCCTGGAACCTTGATGAAAGGAAAACCAAAATATTGTCACTTATCGGCTGGACTTTGGATCAGTTGTTTACCACACTTCTTTTCTCTGACTGATTCCATTTTTCTTAAAAAGTATTGTGCCCATGTAAGCTTGTTTTCCTCCACACAGGTCCATGAAAGCTTGGTTTCCTATTTTGCTATATGTTGCATGGCCTGGAAGCCAGGGACAACAGCTGTTGGTATGATTTCTATGTTAAGTAAAAAATTAGATTTTATAGAGATCATTTCTTTCCCCCTCTTGGATCTACGGTAATTTTTCTAAACTGTCGTAAAACTGCCCTTAAAAAATTAGAGGCTTTTAAAGATTAGTTGCCAAAGATAAATTAGTTCTGTAATAGGAACAGTTGTGTGGCAGTTCTGGGAGTTTAACTGAGAGACTCATTAAAGATGGAGTACCCCCTCCAAGTTTGATTTCCAAGTTTCATAAAGCCTCTGAGCCTATGATTCTCATCCGCTCTTGGTGTGCCCACAGAATCGGTTACCTCCACGGCCATTTGTGGCCAAGCAAGGAGGAGAGGGTTCGTTTGGGGATTTGGTTTTTTTTCAATTTGCAGTGAGAAATAGGATAGGTGACAAAGTCTTACTTGTTTTCTTAAGACAATTCAGTGCTTGAGCATCTCTGTCAGAAATGGAATGATGTACTGTTAGCCAATTAGAATTATTTTATGTATTGTTACTGTGTTTTGCTGATTTTTATATGAAAATATAATTATTCATTCTTGATCTCTGGAAGCAATCATTATTATGAGGATCATTTTACTTTGGAAACACTTTCATAATAAAGATAAGTATTAGGAGTCATGTGTAAATGATATTTTCAGTAAGTGCTGGTGTTGGTAATATGTCACATCGTCCTGGACAAGATTTATTTCAGGGCACACGTCATCCTACTAGTTTCTTGCAAACTTTCCTTAAATCCCAGTTATCATTACGATTACTGAAAAGGTAGTAGTATATTTATATTATATTTATACGTCATAAAAATAAAACATATATATATCTCTATTTTGTCAGGAATTTAGCTAAGCTACTCCATAGCATTGCTGCCCCGCATCCATTTTGTTTGCAATGTGACCTGCAGGGACCTTAAATTGACCTTGGCCCCTCAAACAGGTGCACACCCTGGAGAGCAGCCCTCAGACTCACGAGCAAGTGTAAGTCCCTGATATGACTTCCCCAATAGCCCCTGTGATCAACAATCTCCCCTCCCTCCCAGTGCCTGCAGGCCTTATATTCCCCCTAGATAAGACCACCATGGGGTTTACCAAAACACCACTCTTTTGAATTGACTCATCCAGCCTTAGCCCAGGAATCCCAAAGCATTCTACTCACAGACCCTAATATAGGCATGTGCCCCAGGTCCTGTCTCAGTCTCCACCCTGCCGTCACCAACCTGGTGGCCCCTCAAGCTGTGCCGTGTGTGTACCTCCCCTGTGACGTGTGAAATTTGTCTCTCTCAATTTCTCTTGTGGTCTCTCGTTGAACTTCGGTTCACCATCTGACACCTTGTACTCCACTTAACAAATATTAATTTAACACAGTTAACACATTTACATGATATATATATATATATATATATATATATATAATATGTTGCAGGATCTCTTTTGAAAATTAAGATATAAAAACTGTAACATTTTATGTAGTGCTTCATTCTGGAAAAAAAATATTAAATATTTATAGAGAGATAAGAGTTCACAGGGCGCCTGGGTGGCTCAGTCGGTTAAGCGACTGCCTTCGGCTCAGGTCGTGATCCTGGAGTCCCGGGATCGAGTCCCGCATCGGGCTCCCTGCAGGGAGTCTGCTTCTCCCTCTGACCCTCCCCGTCTCATGCTCTCTCTCTCTATCTCATTCTCTCTCTCAAATAAAAAAATAAAATGTTACCAAAAAAAAAAAAAGTTCACAATATCAGACTGCACTGATTTTTTCCAAATCATAACAAGAAGCACTTAGGACCAACAATCCAGACCACAGCACACACAAAACCATCCCTGTCAGTGTAGCTCATAGGAGCTTGACTGATTATCTTCTCTGGGTCCGTGCCCTCCTGTGTTGGGGCTTCTTTCCCTCTTTCTCAGTTTTTCCTGTGTAACTCTGTCTTCCCCAGCTACTCTTCCGCTCTAAGCTTATGTCACCTAATATCTCCAGAACCATAAAAATAGCACTGACATTCAACCAGACACCCCACACCGCCACCACCACCAGTATTATGAAAAATAAAACAGATGCCCTATGAAAAAACATATAATGCAGCCACCACCAACCACAATCTGATTGCAAGCATGAGTTATCCTAATAAATTAAACTACCAAAATACCTCTGAGGCAGAGAAAGATAGGCTATAAGGTCATGCACCACTTTGGGAAGCCACGAACTCTTCCGGTTCTGTAAGCAAAGTGGAATCTAAGTCTACAAGCATCCCTCGCCAATAGCCACAATGCAGCTCAG